CCATTTTCAGTGAAGTGCAGCAAGCATCTTTATGATAAGTAAATCGAAATTGGCGATTTGCTTATTGTTTGCATTATATCAAAATGTTAAAGAAATCGGAATACATCAGATTCTAAGCCATCAAGCACCACAACAGATAAGTAAATCGCCAGAGAAAAATCAAATATGGAGAAAAATCGACAGGAGATTCTAAGCCATCAAGCACCAACTACATTAGAATGCCGTTAAATCAAATATGGAGATGTTTGTTAGCTGAAGCAAAAGCCAAACCAGTATCTAAGTGAAAACACCAAAATCATAATAACACAACCTATCAAAGTTCGATCTTCCAACTTCAAGAAACCCACATATAAGTTCAACGTAATAGACATATTCGTGTTCACTAAACAACCTAACTTTCAGATTCAACTCATATTAACAATACCAGGCCATCGTAAATTTGAAATCATATAAACAAAACCAGGTTAATGGCAGTTGGTGAGACAGGAAAGGGAGCCTACTTGCTGGCGGTGATGGCACGATGTGGAGATTTGTGTTATTGTCGCCTACTTGCTGCTTCGGGCGTCCAAGGTTTGAGCTTTTTCAAATCGATGAACAGGGGGTTCAAGGTAGCTTCTGGCGAAGACGGTTTACAACACACGCCATTGTTCGCCGCCGAATTTCACTTCGAATCGTTTCCTAGGGTTTCAGATTGCGACGATTGGGGATTTTCAATTTCAATGGTGAAACGGGCATCCAGCATTTTCTCTCTCTTTACTCTCCTCTTTTCTCCTTTTTATACGCCAGCTCATCTGTAAAGCTTCTGTGAAATGGCTTCTGTAAGTGTAGCGCGAATCTTTGACTTTTGAGTCGTCATCTTTAGATTTTAATTGAAGATCAGTAAAAACTTGAATTCATACACCTACTTGAATAAAGTTGGGAGCTTGTTACTTCAATTTCAAAGATTTAGATTCAAGATATTACTTATAATCAGTGTTTTAAAAAAACACGTTTAGGCGCCGCTTTGGTGCGAAGCGTGAACAAAACGTCTCATTTCGAATTTAGGCGCACTTTTTGTTCTCAATATAGTATTTTATAATTTTATATGTTTGGTAGGTATTATTTTAATTATTAAATAATTTTTAAATTGATTACAAATTAAAAATAATATTAAAATAAGAAATTTTTTTTTACGTTTTTTTATGCTTAAACCTCACCTAGAATAGTCTAGTTCGAAATTTGACCTCCACGTCTAATCATGCCTTACGTTTTTTTAGAACTGTACTTGTAATAATTAGGGGTGGCTTGGACCATACCGAATACCTTGATTGGAGGGATGAGGTTTAAAACAATTAATTTTTAAAGGCAAATTCTTAGAACCCAACAAATCTAATCGACATGAACTAGTTTTGGTCAGTTTATTCCTCTTATCAATTCGGATATAGATTGAAACTTTCGATTCGATTGTCGGATTGAGTTTGAATCCTACATGTGCCTACCCAATGAATAAAAATATTAAATTAGTAACTTTGAAAGGTGAAATTATTATTTATTTATGATCTGGAGGATATAGATAGATATTTTTGAGGTCTAAACAAGAATTTCAAATTCACCTCAAAATGAGAAAAATAAAAGGGAAAAATTCACTTTCCCTACTTTATCTTTACCATATTTCAAAAATAATAAAACAACTTT